TAGGGGTTTTGTTAAATAAATTACAATGATGTGGAGATGAAAAGAATAAATTATATTAGTATTGTTAAGTTTTATATCTGAATTTTTTTTTTAAATTCCCAAATTAGATGTGATTAAAGTGCTTATGAGAAATTAATGTGGTTTGACAAATATGTCAAAACAGGACAGTTTTATGGTTGAATAAAATAGAAGACGGAATGAAAAAAGAAAGTGGGTTGCGGTTAGCAACGAATAGTTTTGTTGGTTGGTGCTAGCTATGGCGGTTAACAAGGAAGAATAGGTTGTTGGAGGCGACGAAAATTTTGGAGGAAGAGCCCTAAAAAGGTGGAATAGTCGGGAGTGCTTTAAAATCGTTTAATTATAATTTAGTTTTTCCACATTTTCAAATAGAGATATCCAGAATTTGTTCCAGAGAGTAAGAGAAATTTTGACTTATAAATTATAATTGGAGTGCAGAAATGTCATTTAGATTGAAAAAGTAAAAATTCATGAATTAACTAATTGCGATAGGCCTTAAAAATTGAAATATTAATGATCATTAAAATAAAAATATAATAGTACGTACCTTTAACTTCCGAAGAGAGGATAGATATTCCAGTATCACCGATTATTTTGCGAGTAGTTAGTTTTCTTTAAAAAAAAAAAATCAGAACTGTTTGAAAGTGAGTTTGGATAATAATTTTGGGGATCATTTGAAATTTTGATTATATTTTAATGCTAGTTATAAGTCAGCGGCATAAAGTGTTCAGTTTTCTTTTCTTTATATTTCATTTAAACACTTTATAAAGTTGCAATAGTCATTTAGATTTAAGGTAATTGTAGAGAGTTTCCACATTTTGTAATCAAATTCTATTTTCACGACACATTAAGGTTTACACGATTCCTATTTTTGTAAATTTTTAAAGGCAACCCAAGTTGCAGACTAATTTTATTGTTTATATTAAATTTGTTCAATATTAATAAATAACGTGCTTCATTTGGGTTAATTTATCAAAAATATAAAGTAAATTTTGGTTTAATTTCTTTTTGAACTCTACCAGGAGACTACAGAGTTGACGTCACACAGTGACAGATTGCTTAGAACAAATAATTGAGCTAGCCGAGGTATAGTATATTAACAACGAACTACATACTTTTAAAATTCACTTCAATTCAATTAAAATTATATTTATTAACAATAAAACATAAAAATAATAAAAACAAAACTATTACAATATATATATATATATATATATATGTATATATATATATATATATATATATATATTATATATATATATATTTATATATTATAGGGGAGACCGGGGAGAGTTCGGACCATTTTTAAAAATTAATTTTTATTAGAAAAGTGTATTGATATATTTACCTTTTAAAGTAGTTAACTTAAGCTTCCAAGGTTCAGGCATAACCAATCAAGAGCAGAATATATCAAATCAATAAATTAACAACAAAAATAAAAAAATATTGCAGGGGGTCATTTGTCCGAAGTCTCCCCAGAAACGGGGAGACTTCGGACTAGGAACTGGGAGACTTCGGACAGTACTGGGAGACTTCGGACAGTACAACATATGTTACTTATAAAAATGTATTTAAAAAAAATAGACATGTTTAGATATTAAAAAATTAATGCAATGAATAATCTTCTAAATCTGTATTAAAATAGATCATATTTTCATATCTTTGACGTGTATCTTTCAAGGGCTTCGGTAAAATACATTTTATGTCTTCAAATATAACAAAAGCATCTTCTTCAATGGAGATAAACCGATTAGAAGTGGCATGTTTTTTATAAAATTTTACGTCGTATCCTTTTATCTGTTTTTCCTGAATTTCTGCAACATAGTGCCGAAATGTAGCTGGTGTTTTTCCATAAACTCTGGCAATTATAAACTGACCATTTGCAATATTTGTTTCTTCTGTATCCACTTCGTCATCTTGCTCTATGAAGTCAGAGGATTCTTCATTGCTCATTATGTCTTCAGAGGAAGAAGAAGAAGATGTTTCAACAATTTTTTTAGTGACTTTCTGTCTTTTTTTAGGATTTACTTTCCTTGTAACAGATCGTTTTAGTTTCCTGTTGGCAATTTCGTCTTTTTCTGGAGTATCCGTGGCAATGATACATTTGCCCTTAGGCCTGCCTCTATTTGATGTTTTACGTTCTGGCGCCTTGGGAAACGGTCTAACCATTTCTGGAGAAATGATGTTTGGAGAAGTTGAGTGACTCGGAGAAACTAAAACTTTGCTTGGCCCCGGTTTGGACAAGCTATCAAAATCTCTTTTTCCGAGTTCCGGTTCTGTAGTAGGCATTGGTCTATCTGTCACGTAAGAAGATAAGAACTCTTCTTCTCCGAATATATTCCTGTCAAAAGGCCAAATACCTGTACACTTGAAACCACTTTTAATATTAACTGGATTGGCAGCTCTGTCCCAAGCAGAAGAACAAATAGCAGGCAAGTCATATATAGAAAGTGTCTGACCAGGATTAGACAACATCCAGGAATTAGCACCATCATTAAAAAACTTTTTGAAAGGACCAAACACTGTTCGGTCCAAAGGTTGTAACTTATTAGAAGTATGAGGTGGTAGTGTCAAAACAGTAATTCCATTTTCTTTGCAGTAATCAAGTCCCTCCACTGAGAGATGGGACTCGTGGTTATCCATGATTAGTAAAATTTTATTAGTATCAGAGCAGAGTGTATTTTTGACAACATGTTTAAGTACTTTCAAAAAATTATCACTTGTCATCCATCCTGAAGGAGATACTAATCCTAAAGCAACTTGAGGAACCCCTTTCATCATGCGGTTTTCATCAAAACGTTGCCGTGGGAATACCCATATAGGAGGCAATGCTTTTCCATCAGCAGAAATTATGCCCACTTGTGTAACTAATTCTCCACGTTCACGTGAGGTCACCTGCCCTATTTGATGTTGACCTTTTCTTCCAATTATTTTAGGTACACGCTGAACTGTAGTAACCCCAGTCTAAAAAATAAGTGATATTAATTATCAAAATAACTAAACAAAATTGTTAATTGACTCACTTCATCTAAATTGAAAATCGCTGAAGATCCAAAAGAATGACGACGTAAAACTTCTTCTAATTTATTTTGAAACGTCTCAACAGTAACTTTGTTAAAACTCGTCATTCTAGCGAGACTAGTGGCTTCAGGTGTTCTAATAGATAGTACAGGATGACGTTTCATGAAACCTGAAAACCAGTCTGTTCCAGCTTCTTCATTTTCGCATGGTTTTTTCTTGGCAAATTCAAAAGCTAAACGTCTTGCAGCTTTAGGCGTTAGTCCATGAAACATGGAAGAACAATCTAATAAATATTTTTCAAGCATTTTTTCCATTATATCGGTAAACACTTGAGATTGCTTGAAATTTGGAGAGAATGTTACGTTGTCTATACCCACAGCTCTAGCTTTCTTTATGTAATCTAGAAGACTAGATTTAGGAACGCCGTAGGTTTTGGCGCTATTCCGAATGCTCAATTTGCCGTCAAGCACCTCTGATGTGGCATTTTTCATAGTGTCTGCAGAAAATTGTCGTTCTGTTACCCTTGTATATGTACGGGGCATTATGAGCTGTAAGAGAAAAATAGAATAACTACAGATCAGGGGAGACTTCGGACACACAGGGGAGAGTTCGGACACTGTGTCCGAACTCTCCCCTAATGCAAACATTGGTAATACAATGGGTTTATAAAAAAACTTACCTAAATATTGCAACAACATAAACGCAAATTAATGAAATAAGTATAGTAGATTACAGCACCAAAGTTTTATACGTGGTAAGTCTATGTATTTTAAAATATATCTTCTGGATTGCACCGATATTTTTAGAACAAAACTCGACAAAACACTTCACAATAGATAACTCTGTGACTACGACCGAAATCACAGCTGTCAATACATAACCTATAATTATGTACAAATAAGGTTGTGTTTACCAAATGACAACAGTGCATCTTCAAAAATGTGCGAAATTCAAATGTGTCCGATGTCTCCCTGTGTCCGAACTCTCCCCGGTCTCCCCTATATATATATATATATATATATATATATATATATATATATATATATATATATCAATAAATAGATTTTTTCCAAATTTACAATTGAATAATGAATGATCACTTTTGGAACATGATTTTATCATTACGTATTTTTTAGTAGATCGATATTAGTGTTTCAGTAAATCAGTAAATTGAGGTTGAAATCAGTAGAACTACTGAAAAATCAGTAGGGGAGGTAGTAATGGGCAACGTATACAGGCACCAAAATATGGCGGTCACATCAAAACTGACTTTACTCCGATAGGGAAGAAGTAATCGCCAACCTTTGTTAGAAATCGGCACAATAAGAAGAATTTGGTAGGTCTAAGAATAGGATGTAATTTATTTTTCATGTAAACATTTTTTTTATTTTTTGGATAAAATTTTTTATTTTTTCCCAGCCTTCTGAAACGGCTGGACCGATTTTTATAAAATTTATATGTATTCAGTAGGTCAGAGAATAGGTCGTAGTATATTTGTCATACCCCTAAGTGATAAGGGTTGCCCACCACAAACATTTTTTTTGATTTTTGGATAACATTTTTTAAATTAAATTAACATTTATGTGGCATTGAACAATACATACAACCCTTATATCATTTGCATGTTATGGACCATACCCAACAAATGCAAATATTAAGTTAACGAGAAGTAAGTTAAAAACTGTTTTATAGTACAGAAATTAATCACATAAGAATATAAGAATACTAACATTTTCTAAAGAGTATAAGTTGAATAATTTAAATTGTATTTCGAATTTGTCATCTCATAAACACTCTATCTCTAATTTATCGAAACTATTTCATTAAAATAATCTTTTACTCAGATGTAAAATTTTTTTAGTTAAATACACATACATACGTAGGAACCGATTAACAGAAGACGAAAACGAAGAAGTGAGGTTAAATTTTAAATACCTGCTATATAAGGTTAGGTCGAATCCAGACAAGAATTTGGAATAAAAGTAGTTAATTGATTTTAAAATGTTGTCTAATAGATTATTATTACTTGTTTTTAAAAGTAGCCAGTGTACTATTTTAAAGGTGCCCCAAATAAATAACGGCTTCCGGTTGGCTGTTAATATACAAAGTAAGTAAAAATTATATAATTCCCTTTGCTATGCTATCTTCTTAATATTACATGTTACAAATCTGATGTATTTCCGTCGTTTCAATACTTGCCCTTCTAACAATTATCTGTGATCTGTTTGTGATTTTTAAAATCCAGGAAATTCTCTTAAGTCTGTGCATTTGTCACATTTTGAATACTTACTAAAAGTATTAATCTAAACATTGCCCAAGTATTCACTTGTAGAATACTACAGGTGCAGGTTCAAACAAGTTTTGAAGAAACCTTTATTCTGTTTATTCCTATGATTTATATTACCTAGCGATTTTCTTGTTACATTTGTTCTCCATCTCTAATTTCCATGTAACTTTAAGGGTAATATTTATTAGTTTTTATTTGTTTGGGAATATTTATTAGTTTTATGTTTTATTCTGGAACACCCTTGTAAAAAATTATTTCCACAGATAGAGTAAACAACATGTGCAATAATTGGGATACTCCTTCATTGGCTGATTTGAGGTTTAAATATAGGTTTGTGTTAATTCAGTTTTGTTTAGAATGGTTCATAATTTTTAGCTGCAAGACCCTTATATTCAAAGGTAACATTAGGAATTGATACATTTTTACAACAATGCGAAACAACAGGAAAACAAATGGAAAATATATCTGAAAAATTCAAAGAAAAGATGTTTGAGTTTAGTCAACATGAAGGCAAGCAAATGGTATTTACAGAAGATTTAAAAAATATGATACATCTATCCAAAGATGAAAAAGATCTTGATTTGGTGGTCAAGATGATAAAAAAGTAAGTACCTAACATTGATTTACATAATTTTATATCACACAATACATTTTATGCAATAAAAAATAGAGATAACTTCAAATGTAACAATAAATTAATTAATTAAGTTAACACTTTTGTGACAAACAGATAGATCCAAATAATATGCACTTACTTTACTTTATCGTGTCCGGACATGTCATTCATAAAATTTCGGCTCAGTATCGGGATACGTTGGTTCCATCTTTGTTAGCGAGCCACAAATCTTCAAGGGTACATCGATGAGGACAGTTTCTGCATGTAAGAAGATGTTCCATATTCTGTGTTTCTCCACAGTCACAGTTCACATCATCTTGGTCTATTTTTCCCCATTTTGCCATGTTTGATTTTACTGTAGCAACCCCCGTTCTTATCCTATTCAAGGTTTTCCGCGTTTTAAAGTCTAGGGCCTGGCCGGTCCATTGAACCTGGGGAGGTGGAAAATACTCAGGCGGTTCATCCTGCACTGTTCCAAGGAAGCTTTTCCTAGATTTTAGTCGCTTTCGTGGTGTTCGAACCTGCTGCTCTATATAGATTTGAAAGTGGCGTTGGTTTCATGCACCCCGTTACTATCCTGCACGTCTCATTTAGCGCAGTATCAACTTGTTTGGTGTGGGCAAATCTGCTCCAAACGGGGCACGCATATTCAGCAGTTGAGAAACACAGCGCCTGTGCCGTTGTTCTTAAAACGCCAGGACGTGCGCCCCATTTACTTCCCGTTAGCTTTCTGAGTATGCTGTTCCTAGTTGTTACTATCCCTCTTGTTTTTATGCAATGTTGTTTGTAGGTGAGGGACCGGTCCAGAGTTACTCCAAGATATATAGGTTGGTTTGTGTGTTTCTAATGCATTACCATTCCACACAATTTGGAGTTTTCGCTTGGCTTCCTTCGTGCGAAGGTGGAAAGCGCAGACTTGGGTTTTAGAGGGATTGGGTCTCAGAGAATTCTGCAGGAAGTACGCTGTCATTGTTTTTAAGGCAGTTTCGAGTTTCTCCTCCACTTCTTCAAAACTATTTCCTTGAGCACATATTGCAAGATCGTCAGCATAGAGGAAGTGCTTGGTTTCGGTCGGAGTAGGTTGGTCGTTTGTGTATATATTGAAGAGCATTGGTGCTAAAACACTTCCCTGTGGGAGGCCGTTTTTTTGAACTCTCCACCTACTTACTTTACCCTCCAGCATAACGAAAAAATGTCTATTTTGCAGTAAGGAATATACAACCTTTCCCAGATGGTGGTCATTGAGAGTATCGTATAATTTGCGGAGCAATGTTTTGTGCCTTACTGTGTCATAGGCTGCTGTCAGATCTACAAAAGCAGCCCCTGTTATAAGTTTTTCTTCAAAACCCTCTTCAATGTGTTCTGTTAATGCGAGGACTTGACGGGTGCAAGATCTGCCAGGTCTGAATCCTCCTTGTTGTGGGATGAGGTGCTTGTCGACATTTTTTTCTATTCTGGCGGGTACAAGTCTCTCGTATAGTTTAAAAAAGTGACACAATAGCGAAATAGGTCTGTAGCTACTGGGGTCTTCTGGATCCTTTCCTGGTTTTAATAAGGCTATTACTTTAGATTTCCTCCATGATTTTGGAATTTTACAGGTTTTACAGCACATGTTATAAAATTGCAAGATCCAGTTTTTTGCTCCTCGGCCTAAATGCTTTATTTGTTCACTGCATATATCATCCACACCTGCAGCTTTCCCGTTTTTTAACCTGTTCAGACTGTCGTGGAGTTCTTTTACTGTAAAAGGAGTTCCTAGGTGGTTTGTCTCTGAATCCAATCTTCTCCTAGTGTTTGGGTCCTTATATCGGTTAGTAGTTCTTCCATTCGTAAGGAGTTGAGTAGCGACTTGGTTTGCTGTAATGTTCTTTTGGATCGCCGCGGAGTTTTTTTACAAGGTTCCATGCTATTTTGCTACTATGTGTCATGTCCATTTTTCCAGGGTCTCAATCCACTTTTTCTGTCTGGCTTGACTTAGCTGTTGGAGTAGTACTGCTCCGCAGTCAACGGTTTCTTGGCTAAAAGGGTCAGTGGAATAGAGGTTTTCATATGTTCTCATTAGTTCTTTGGACTCGCTGGACATATTGCACTACACTGGCCACAAAGTAGATTTCCAAAGATTAACACATATTTTCAATACAACAAGCAAAAAATACAATATGATAAACTCAGTAGTAAAAACCAAGTGTAAGACAACATTCAAATACCCACTTCAAGATTATATTTCAGGTATAATATTTATAAAGTCAGTTCAAAAATTTCACTCTGACGCGATTTATAAGGGCAATTCAATATCACATTTACTGGAAATCAAGTTTAATTATAAATACCATGCGTCAATGTTTCTAACATATTTAAAAAATCATTGTACTTCATACGAGAGAAATGGAAGAAACATAATGAAAGCTACATCCCATCAAATAAATATTGGACTTTGATATGTTGTTCAAAATTATCTAATGTTTATTTTATATATTCCAAGAAAGTATAAATGTCACTTATAAAAATACTAAATATACAATTACATACCCTGAGTGAAGACTATGTGGGTCAAACTAGAAAAAAATAACACTAATATAATTAATTTGACACATTAAGTAAATATTTTGAATAAGATGAGGTTCAACTGTGCAAACAATTTATTTAACAGAATGAAAACTCAAACATATTTATACAAAAAGGAAACAAAAAAAAACTAATGTAAAAATTTCAGTATCAGGGGTTTATAAAATGGTTCTCATAAATTAGATTTTCAATACCACTTATAATTTTATGTACTGCCAATATATGTACTGCCAATATGGCCTTTTCACGACCATTTGAAAATGAGGAAAATATTAACCAGAATCTTGAAAGTAGTTTGAATTTAAAAACAAAGACCTACATTTGCTGTGTCATTGTATTGTCACATATGAGTGTTTAAAAAAAGAAAATGAACAAAACTCTGACAGAACTATTGTAAATAGAATAATTAAACTTACAAATAAAAAACGATCTGTAATTGCAATTTATATATATAAATATATATATATATATATATATATATATATATATATATATATATATATATATATATATATATCCGGTTTTTTAGGCGTTACGCCTGTCCGGTAGGGATCTATGGAGGAGTATCACCAAGCCGCAAGCCCTTATCTCTTGCCGTACTGCTCCATCATAGGCCGATCAGATCCCAGCATTGCAATTTATAAAAACTTTAAATCACTATTTAAAATGGAAATTAACAAATAAAAAATTCAGAAAAATAGATGATGTCCATAAGAATGTCACTGGAAAGACTGTATAATTTCTACAAGGAAAACAGGGTACACTATATAAATGATCCAGAATGAACTAAGGGAATATCCTGATTATTACTACTAATGTTTAGTGACATTGGGAAATATTTTGATAGATTGTGGGTTTAGATATAATAAAATAAATAATAGCATGGTAATAATGAAGTTTCAGCAAATAGTTAAACTTAGGCAAGAATATTTACATAAAATCAAAGAATATTGACAGTACAACAGATTAATTATATATCTAGATGAGACCTGGTTTGACACACATGGCTTCATTAAGTATGGTACGCTAGATAACTAAGAGCTGCAGTTTACATACACTATGTCCAAGGGTGACACATAGAATAATCTTGCATGTATGTCTCGCTCTTCAATCTTGACCCCCTGGAGGGAGTGTAGTGGTCATGGTAATGTCATGTATTGTCCATTGTCTACAAAGATCTCTCTCTCTCTCTAGTCATTTATTTTAACTCTTGCCTAGGTCTTTTGCATATGCCTGTAATTTGTTTGATTCATCTTGTTGGAGATCTTCCTTGAGATCTTCAACTTTCTGCCTTTCCTTTGATATGTTTTCTGTATCTGCTCTCATAACATGTCCAAAGTATTTTAATTGTTGGAGATGGACTTTACCCTGAGAGGTAATAACCAACTGGTTATAATTTAATTCAAAATGAAGACAATAAAACCTTCAAGAAGACTCTTGATATATTAATCTCAGATAAAATTGTTGAAAACAACAAATAAAGTTGTAACAAAAATACAACAACAGAGAATGGATGGGGTTATGCAAAAAAGAGTCAATCCACACAAGTGTGATTGTGAGATAAATAGCTTCAAAGTCTATAATCTGTTACAAATTACTTATGTTCTTATAGGATACCTATGATAAATTATTATATCAGTAAAATTTGGAATTACTTTTTCAACACAATTAAAAAAAAAATACCAATTGTTTCTATGTAAAAAAAACTAAAATTTTGGATTTTGGTTTTTAGGTTACACAAGAAAGTAATTTTTTTTAAAACATGGTAACACACTACATACTACACGACATACTAATTATAAAACATGTTTTATTCCTTAATACAAAATATAGGACAAAATATTTGATAATAAATAATTAAAAATTTTAATATTTTTTAAAAATGTTTCAAATAATTCTAATCCTCTTCATCAAGTTGAAGTCCACATTTTTTACTCTAAAACCATTAATAAAGTTACCCTGTTTAGCTGCCCGTAAGAAATTATAAAATGGTTTTAGATCTTGTGGTTAGTGCTTTAATATTTCTATCACATCTCTATTATTTTCTTTGAGTAGTGATTTACCTGTTAGCCATAACTGCTGATACAACTTCATATCTTTGAACAATTTCTGCAGTTGACTTGTTTTTACATATACTCTATGTTTTCTTCTGTTATGTATGTTTGAGTATATGTATAACAAGAAAGCCACATTCTTAAAACTTAGATTTTTGACTCTTGAGCCAATTTACTTTCTCTTTCTGTGAGTCAACTTTCCTATTTGTGATACATTTCAATATTTTTTGAGAATTAAAAAACAATTTTTCCTCTTTCTATTTTGTTAATAAAAAATTTGTTTTTTCTTCTACATTCTTTTATAACATGAATTGTCTCCTATATCCTTGTATAAGTGCTGTTGGGTCTGAGAAGGCAGAAAGGTATATACTGGTAGTAAGAATCGTAAAGGGATAACATAGAGAGATGAATGGTTGTGTAATGTGTGCATCATTAAAAGTACTAGATTAATACTGCAATTTTGATTTATTTAGAAGTTTAGAGTTAGTTTAGAACAGTCTAAACCACAGAAAAGCACTGCACAAAACAGTTGGATAAAAATCAGTTGTTAAGTTGTTAACAGTTGGATAAAAATCATCTTTTATGTACTTCCAAACAGGATCCCACCTCTTGGGTTCCTCTCTCACCTTCATGTTCAAGCCAAACATTCAAAACCCCCTTTTTTGTGCTAACAACATGGATACCAAGGTTGTAAAAATTCAACTGCCCTTTGTAATATATCAGTATGGGTCTTTTGCAGATCAAATGTTACTTTGTAATTCAAGATTCTGCAGATTTGAGATCTTTTCTTAATATTCTCTTCAACATTTTGCCTTTTCGCTATGTTTGGAATGTTTTAATTTTATATTATCTGGTGCTTCACCCTTGTACGAGAAGGGTAGCTTTACCACTTACAAAAGATTTTTTCTATTCTTCTATTATAATCTAATTAATATGTACTATCAAGTCTTATAGTATCAATAATGATAACAATACTTGATGTTTACAACAACATCCGCATTAAACTATCACAATGATTTTCTTGTTAAAAATAAATTATAAATTAAATGAAAAATGATTCTTAGAACCAAATGAAGACTGAAGACTATAATACTTCTATATTGAAATTTTCTTTTCTATAGAACAATAAACGACCAAATTCCCGGTAAATGAAAGAGTGAACTCCTGGCCTCTGATGCAAATAAATTATCTTCCAAAGTTTGTTCCCAAATCTCCCAGAATGAAACTGTCTCGTCTCCTTCAGTCAAAAATTCAGGATCAGATGGTTTTCAATACTGTGTCAAATTAGTAAAGCAAATAACTTAAGTTTTATCTCTGACTTAGTGTCTTCAATATATATATATATATATATATATATATATATATATATATATATATATATATATATTTCTGGACATTTAGAACAACACTTCCACTCAAAAAATGTTCGTTGTTATCTTCTTAAAACTTTTAATTTTTAATCAGACTACAGCTTCTCCCACTGACGAACTTACTTTTTCCAAAAATTTCATTTAAGACTTCTTTTCTCCTATCTCCCAGCTTTTTATCTCCTCTTTATTCCTCCTACCCTACTCCCTAATAAATTTGGCTCGGTTCTTTTCCCCGCCATATCTTTAGCAGACAACTCAATTTCCCCCCCTTTTTTTTCAGAACAACAAATTCCACCACATTTCCATGTAAATTAAACATTTAATTATTCTATTTACAATACTCATTTTACTAGTTATCTACAAATGTATTAATTCTAATTCCTGTACTTACCTGTCCGAAAACTATCCGTTGTCTAGTTCTTTCTCGTAAATAAAAAACAAGATTAATAATCATTCACAGAAAACCGCACAAAAAAAATATTACTCGCACTACACAAATTTGACCTCCGTTTCTCCGAATAAATTAATCTCTAAATTAATCTCTAAATTACAATGTAAACCTATTTATCTAAATACACACAGTAATACATTTTTCGGTTGTTGTAAATTTAAATTGTTCCATGCATTGAAACATTTATAGCAGCTGATTAGTTAGATACAAAAGAATGGGTTAATGGATAACTGTATGCTTTCCAGTATTCTGGTAAAGAATATTCCTCTTCCGTAACTAGATTTGGAATAAATATTTTTCTGTATCTTCTTTTGAATGTTTCAATGACCGATTGATCCATTTGCTGTACTAATGATGTATTCGCAGGTAGAAAAGAGCACGTGATATTTCCATCGTTACTTCGCACCATACCGGCTTCAGGATGGGCAGGTGCATTGTCCAAAATGAGAATCGTCTGTGGTAGCAAATTTTTTGCTTGCAAGTATTGTTGAACGTCCGGTATAAAAACCTAAAAAACAATGCATGCATTATGTTGTGCGTATAAGTTATCGGAAAGCGCATTTATATTTTTATGCCCTTAAAACATCGTGATTTTTTGCTGTACCAATCAATAATAAAAGAAGGCGATGGTCATCACTTGTATTTAAACACATCATTGCTGTGATTCGTTGCTTTTGCGTTTTAAATCCGGGTGCATATTTATCAGACAGTGCAGTGAGTATTTTCATTGGCATTGCTTTGTAGTTTAAACCAGTTTCATCCGCATTGAACACTTGATCGCGTATCAAACCATATTCATCCATCATACCTTGAAACTTTCTTTTATATTTGTCAACGACTTCAATACTTGCGGCGCTCAGTTTTTCACCTTCGATTTTCAGTTCCCATTTACCGTGGCGATTTTTGAACTTTTCCAGCCAACCGCTGCTTTCTTCGAATGAAGGATCGCCATCAATTTCATGTTGAAAAACAACGCTTTTTCGGTAACAATTGGTCCAGACAAAGGAACACCTTCGCTTCTTTTTTGAAAGAACAAATAAAAATACAGAGCCCTGTCGAGTGATTCATTTCTGGCTTTTTTCATTATCTTACGATGTTTCACCCAGCCTTCCAACGATTCAATTTGCGAAGCATACTTTTAAATTCCTTCAGTATTTTTCTTAAATCATTGATTTTTGTTCTTGGAACATCATACTTTTTGCTCAATGCGACAGCAGAAACACCTTTCTTTAGTTCTGCAATAATTTGTTTTTTTTTTAAACTGACAAAACAACACTTTTTCTTTTTAATGCTCCAGATATGGAAGGCTTCATTTTTCAAAACTTAATTGATCAAACGACTAAGTCGCATAATCAATGTTTGAATTTAAATCAAACTGAATTATGGTGACACACAGATATTGACCGTAATAATTATTGTGCTGTGCGTTTTTATTTTCGGCTTGCGATTGTAAAAATAGAACTCTAAAAGCACGGTATCGTTATATTTTTCATCACCTATTTAAATTAAAATTTAATCCAAAACCATGAATAAGAACAAAAATTATTTACGTAAAAAAATGCGGTGGTGGCATAACTGCATGTATACATTTAAACGAATTTGGTTTGGCGTATGCCAATGCTCAAACAAAATGAATTGATGACTAAATTTTTACTTATGTAGTCAATATAACTTATGTATGGACCCTGACGGTTAAGAGAGGTGATGGTTAATAGAGAGACGGATAATCGAGGTTCTACTGTAATATGATTTTTTAGGTTCAATAAACAGAATAAGGAACTCAGATTTGGAAGTTTTGTTTTTGGTCCAGTTGTTCTACGCCTATTCCATCATCACAACAGACCTGATTTAGCTTTAGAAGTAAGTAAATACGTTATTAAATAAAACTATGAAAAAAAAGGATCTTAATAGAAACTGTACAAATTCAGCTTATAATTTATATAATCGTCTATTTGACAACTGATTTCTTCTTCAATAATTTTGCTTCTTTTTATATCCAGTATGGGCAGTTCATTTTGTTTTTATGGTATCTTTAAATAAATTCATTTTACAATCAATATTGGTTACATACATTTAACTCATTTAGATATAGTGTAATTTATTACATTTTAATTTTTTTTTCTATTCCTTTGATGTTTTCTATTGTATCTTTTTCGCTAAAGGTGAATGAAAATATGGGAAAATATCAATCATTGAACATTGACCAGTATTTCATTCAGTAATTATTTAGATCGTTACTTGGTAATTAATTGGATCAACATGATCCTAAACACCTAAAGAAGACAACCATTAGAATTATCTTTTCAACCTTGTTTTAAATCTAGCGATGAATATATTTCTTTTGAATAAAGTTGGCTATTGTTTCATAGAAAAAAAAAAAAAATCAGAAGCATTTTAGTTATTCATTAATTTTTCTTCCATTGTGTTATATTTTTTAATATTTTTGATATTATTTCATATTTGCTTGGCTTTTATTTTTCATTTATTTGGATGTTCATCTTAATTCTAGTTTGGTAAATCTTCTGAATTTACGTTTTACCGAGTCATGAAAGAAACGAGAAAAGAGTAGAAAAAACTCCAAGCTGTAAGGTCGTGGATTAGTTTTTGTCTTTATATGTAGTTTTATCTTTAAAACGCATCTTTATTTTTATCGATAGGACACTTGGATCAAAAGATATCGAATTTTTACCGTCGAGCTGATACAAATTTTATTGAACATTGGTTTCGCGCACGTAACTGACATTCAAAATCGACGGTCGCTTCAAGCGTTGTTTCTAAGAGAACGGTTTATTCTACACAAAAAGTGCTAATAAACATTTTTATTTAAAATTATCTCAGCTACATTTTTATTTGAAATATTTTTTTCTACGTCGTACAGATTCTTGGTAAATCGAGTTTTTTGCGTTTTTACCCCCATATGAGAGGTATTTTAGAGGGAAGCCCGAGGGTAAAAGTGGTAAACTTTTTTGCACTTTTTTTGGGGTCCCAAAATTACTATTCTCGGCAAATTCAGCGTGTTCGTGTAATTTTTTAGAGGTTTAATGGCATTTTCTTCTCTGATGACTGGAGTATCTGCGATCATCGACAGAACATTAACTAAATTATGCAATAAAAAGTTTTTTAAATCTTATTTTTAATCATGCTTCGCTCGTTATAATTAAGACTCAATGATGATGGTCTGCTAGGACCGAAAACGGTTTGATTCACTAATCCTATTACATATTTTTTACATTTAAATATATGTAGTACAAAAAAGAAGTTTTTATACTTTCTTTTTATTCTTGTTGTTCACACTGATACATAATAGAAGTAATAATATAATTTAATATATTTAATCAAACATTGTCTTCCAGTGCTTCAAATCAGATGAGCTATCCGGATTTTTTGATCAAATTATATCATATCAAATTCTCTTAGACCTTCTTTTCGAAAACCAGATGTATCAAGAAATACTTGACTGCGCAGATTTGATCAAAGAGAAACAGATGGAAGGTATGAAGTATCCACGAAATGTTGTTGTTCTTGTTATGGCTGCCTGCTACAAATTAGTAAGTGTTAGTTTTAAAGTAATTGTAATTTATCAATTTTTGCCTTAAGGTACTATCCATTGCAAGATAATTCGGATGGAATTTCCCAGATTAAGAGACTGAGCCGATATCAAGCACAAAATGACTGTATTCCCTTAATGCTGTAACGAATAGTCATCCTTAGGGCCGGTTCTACAATGCTAGTATATACTGAGAATAAAGTTATACTTGGAATAACTTCATTAATGGTGTTCTACAAACAAAGAATAAACTAGGAATAAGATAATCGGAGTATATCTGTAGAATAACTTTATCCCTCCAAAGTTTAGCAGATATAGGGAGTATAAATTTATACTGCATTTCTATTGGTCGGCCAGGGGTTGTCAAATTTGTAATATTTTAACCTCACTTTATGCCATTCAATGAACTGTGCTGTTGTTTGTTTTTATATATAAAATAAAATTTTTGATATTGCACAAACATTTTAGATTGTAAATCCAAAGGAAATTTTATTAGGCAATCCAAAGGAAAAAGAAAGCATTTATTATTTCAATTCTAAAATTTTAGGATATGTATGTAATGTAATAATGTCTACACATATGACTAATATAGTATAGGTATAATCTTACCAAGGCAATATATTTTTAATGTTTTGATAACAGAGACTGTAATTCTAGAATCTGTATTATATAAACATTTCTGTAACTAAAATATATATTTTGTAATCCAATATTTATACTTGTTTAAAATGTGGAGTACCTTCTTCTTCTTCTTCTTCTTCTCATTCTTCTTTAAGTTCCATCTTCTATCGAAGGTTGGAAATCATCATGGCTATGCGGACTCTGTTGACTGCCGCTCTAAAAAGTTCTGCACTACTGCATTCAAACCATTCCCTCAAGTTCTTAAGCCAGGATATTCTTCGTCTTCCCACATTTCGCTTTCCTCGGATTTTGCCCTGCATAATAAGTTGTAATAATGCGTATTTTTGCCCTCTCATCACATGTCCAAGTACTCAAGTTTTCGTCTTTTAATAGTTAATATTATTTCCGCCTCATTTCCTATCCTTCTAGTTACTTCCATGTTTGACATTCTTTGAGTCCATGATATTCGTAGGATTCTTCTGTAACACCAAAATTCAAAGGCGGCCAACTTATTCAGATGAACTTGTTTTAGTGTCCAAGCTTCCAGACCATAAAGAAGAGTAGAGAACACGTAACATCGAAGCATTCTCAGGCGTAGTTCTAACCTTATATCCCGACAACAAAGAAACTTTTTAAGTTTAATAAATGATGTACATGCTATTTCAATACGTGTCTTAATTTCTTTGGTTTGGTCTACATCTGATGTTATCCATGTTCCTAAGTATTTATAGTTATTAACACTCTCAATTGCAGTATCTTCAATAGTCAATTGGATATTTGCATGTGCAGATTTAGTCATGATCATGCATTTAGTTTTCTTTAAATTTATCTTCAGTCCGTACTCATGACAGCGTTCATTAAGGCGTTGCATTACGTTCTGTAAATCATTGTTGTTATCCGTAATTATTACTGTATCGTCTGCAAAACGTAAGTTATTCAAAACTTCTCCATTGATAGATATACCTTCTATTGAGTCTGAGAGCGCTTCTTGAAATACCGCTTCACTGTAGACATTGAAAAGTAGTGGGGACAGCACGCAACCCTGGCGGACTCCTCTCTGTATTTTGATATTTTCAGTGTACTGGCTGTCAACTCTTACCTTGGCAGTTTGATTCCAATATAAATTAGATATAATTTTCAGATCACGACTGTCAATATTTTTGCTTTTTAATATATCTACAAGCTTTTTATGTTGAACTTTATCAAATGCCTTTTCAAAGTCTACAAAACATAAGTACATATCCTGATTCATGCCCATGCATCTCTGAGCCAGCACATTCAAGCCGAACAAAGCATCTCTTGTACTCATACCATTTCTAAAGCCAAATTGTGTGTCACTAATCTCATATTCAAGAGTTTTAACAATTCTGCTGTGAATTATTTTCAAAAATGTTTTAAGTGTGTGACTCATTAAAGCTATTGTTCTGTGGTCTGAGCAAGTTGTTGAACTTGGTTTTTTGGGAATTGCTACAAAGGTTGATTGCAGCCATTGTCTGGGGATTGTGGCAGTCTGATATATTAGATTAAAGAGTTCAACCATTACATCAATAACATCTTCATCGATGAGTTTTAATAATTCGATGGGCACCTCATCTGGTCCAGTGGCTTTACCCTCTTTTGTGTTTTTGATGGCATAGATGACTTCTTCTCTTAATATTGGTGGTCCAGTATCTTCGGTGATTTCTAATGACAGTTCTTCTCTTTCATCATTAAATAGTTGTTGAATGTAATTGGTCCAGTGACATAATCTCTCCTTCATATCAGTAATAATATTCCCTTTATCATTTTTAAGGATATTCGTTTTTGTACGCTTTCTAGAACCTGTCATTTCTTTGATTTTTTTGTGCAAATTAAAGCTATCGTACTTTTTATCCAGATCTTCTATTTCCTTGCATCTATCGGAGAGCCACCTCTCTTTTGCCTCTCGAATTTTCTTTCTGATGTTTCTCTGAATTTCTTTGTATTTATTCAAGTCTTTTGCTTTATGTTTTCTTCGTTCTTCCATGAGTTCAAGAATTTCTACCGTCATCCAAGGTTTTGTTTTTTCTTTAAGTGGTTTGAGGGTTTCTTTTCCAACTGACACAAGGGCATGTTGAATTTTTCCCCATTTTTGGTCAACAGTTAGAGTTTCTGCATTATCTTCTTTGACTTTCCTTAAGCTCTCGTTTATTTTAAATTTGGTTTCCACATATGTGTTGTCTTGTTTGAGACGTCTTGTATCTATGATTTTCTTGGTGCTAGGGCTGTTGACCTTCTTTAGTTTCACTCTCATCGACAAAACAACCGGGTTGTGCTCGGAGGATATGTCCGCTCCTGGATAAGTTTTAGATGATATTATAGAATTTCTATATCTTCTGTTAACGATAATATAATCTATTTGATTTCTGACTATTTTGTTGTTATTGTCAGCTGGTGACCTCCATGTATATAGTCTACGTTTAGGAAGTTTGAACAAGGTATTTGTAATTATGAGTTCCTCATTGACACAGAAATCGACAAGCCTATCGCCACGTTCATTCCTTTCCCCGAGTCCATATCGCCCCACGCAATTCTCCACTTCTCCTTGGCCAACTTTAGCGTTCAAATCGCCCATTATAATATTTATATCTTGTCTTTTAGTTAGTCTTAAGACATTGTCGATTTGTTCATAGAAGGCCTCTATGGTGTCTTCATCCTTGTCTGCAGTGGGTGCATATACTTGGATTATATTTATTTTACGTTTTAAATGAGAGTTTAGAGACAGCATTAATACTCGATCAGAGTAGGGAACAAAGTTACAGACAGCTTTATGAGAATTCTTATCAACTATAATGCCAACTCCCCGTTTGTGCTTGGAATCGTTGTTTCCAGAATAATACATCGTTCCATTTCTGGTCTTACATTTTCCTGATTCAGGCCATTGTATATCGCTAAGGCCCAGTATATTAATTTTCATTCTGCACATTTCCGACACATCATTATCCAGTTTGCCTGATTGGTATAAACTTCTTACGTTCCATGTTCCGATTTTCAAGGCTATAGAGTTATTTGCTTGACAGGGATTTACCTTGTTGACGACCTGAGAGGCCCTGTCGTCTAAATCTGATTGTCCTCCCCTGCCGGATCTTGGATTCCGAGCTCCATGATCATTAAGTAAATTATCCACTAGTGGGTCCATGATGATTTTTACTAAGGATATCCTTACGGATCTTTAATGTGGTAGTCATCCCCTGGCTTTCCACATCTCAATGCCGTTGACTAATTTAGTTCTTCCGCCTTCGGAGTTAATTTCTATGCTCCAGGGCAATGAAGTGCCCTACCACGTGTCGGTTCTTCCACCCTTAGCTGTTGACCAACAGGTGGGGGATTACTTATACCGGTAATCGTTCGGTTAATTTAGCAGCTCTAGTATCCAATAATATACCGATCCAGGATCATTTCCCTTACGCTCTATCTTGGTACTGATGCTACTGTCTGACAGAGTAGGATATAGGAATGGAAACTTTGGTAATTAGCTGGGAGAATGGGTTCAGGACATAATTTCTCCCAGGTACCAGGAGATTGGGAGATAATTATGGCTCACGTGGGCAGGGTCGCATCCCTGAAGTAGATCTATCTTCTACCGGGAACGTAAAAGAGTATCTACCCGCTACCTAAGTGGAGTACCTATATAGATATATTTACATAATTTTGGTTATTATATTACAACACTAATCTCAGTTGATGATAATAAAAAATTTAAGAAGGAAATCTTACTAAGAGAAATGATTTTATATACAATATTCCAAAAATTTTACTACTTGGGCTTATAAATAAGTAGTAAAATATATAATGATGTACATGGTTCTCAAAATAGTATTACAAAAAGCCTGTCAAAATCAGGGTGTTGAAAGTAAGAGTGTAAATAAAGTCATATAAAGAGGGTAAAACCAAGGAGTTCATAAAAGGTTTTTCATTTTCACTACAGCACTGTAATAAAAATTGAGAAACCATGGGTTAGGAAATAACTTAAGTACAGAAACAGTTGCAATATATTTGAGATACAATAAAATGTTACAATATAATATCACTATTTTATTGATTCAATGCTAGAACCGCTTCCAGGCAACTTATCTACTATCTCCTTTAGCACAGCAGTTTGTGTATTTATTGCAGTAATCTTGTCTTGTCTGAAAATGTTTGCTGGAACAAACATAATATAATATAATGTGAGTCATGAGGAACTATACATACTCCTACCTCGTACGGAAACCCCTATGGGAAATAACAAGTAACCAGTAAAAAGTGCAAGGGGAGTTGTTATTTTATAAAAACTTGATATTCCAGTTTGCCTAATTTGTAAAATTTTTGTTAAAGTTTTTAAAAACCATAGGTTGAGATTCTTTCATGAACAGAACAAAC